TGTGAGTTAGAGGAAGGTGGAGTTGCCGCAAGCACACCATGGATGAATTGCAAGGTGCTCTGGGAAAGCATGCATCTTGTGTGCCCAGGAGAGGCACCTGAGAACCGGGCTCCATCCACGGGCTGATCAAGGTTCCCTTCTGTTCCTCTGGGGAACTTAGGCCCTGATGCATGAGCCACACCCAGGCTCCCTAGAACTTCAAGGAAGCCCTCCTTCCTTGGCCTGCAGGGGAGCCCCTGGCTCCCTCTGGGTCAACCTTATTTTACTCTGCCTCTCTCCTTTCTGTTGGAACCTGTCTCTGTCCCATGCACCCATATTCAGCCCTTACTCTGAGACACAGGTGAGGAGGTGCCCTGAGCAGGAGCTTTCTGTCTGCCTCTGCTTCTTGTGCCCTGGGCAAGTCCCTGTGTCAAATATCAGAGCCCATGGAATATGTCTGGCACCCAGCTGATGCCCCTGCTAGGTGAGGGGTGCAGGGAGCCCAGTGAAGACACATCCTCAGTCTTCAGGAGCTTGGCCCAAGAAAACCACCTAATTCAATGCAGAAGGATCCCAGACTTAGGGCGGAGGTACAGAGTGTCAAGGAGCTCAGAGTAGGGAGAGGCTTCTTAGGTTCCAATCACAGCTCCTTCTTAGGTTCCAATTTCAGCCTCCAGCTGCATGAACTGGAACAAACTACTTAAAGGAGGCAAAATAATGGCCTCCCCCAAAGACATCCATGTCCTAATGCTGGAACCTGTCAATATGAGTGAATTGCAAGGTGCTCTTACATGACGATGGCAAATGAGAGGTAGAATTGAGGAGTTAGAGATTACCCTGGGCTACACAAATGGGCCAGATGTGATCACGGTGGTCCTTAAAAGTCAAAGAGGAAGACAGAAGAGTCAGAGTGACTGAGGTGAGGGACTCTTCCCTAGCCACTGGGGGCCCAGAGCTAAGAAACACAGGCAGCCTCTAGAAGCTGGAAAGTCCAGAAAACACTCACCCCCGGAGACTCCAGAAAGGAGCACAGCCCTCTGACACCCAGATCTTAACCCATTGAGACACATGTTGGACTTTTGCCATGCAAAATGCAAGATAACGAATTTGTATTGTTTTAAGCCTCTATGTAATTTGGTCCAGCTGAGATAGAAAAACTAATACGCTACCTAAATTCGTAAACCTCAGCCTCCTCATCTATAAATCGGGGATAACAACCACATCTGGTGCATAGACTAAGTGTGGTGTTCAATGAAGTAATCTATTTTCAAAATAGGGTTTGTTTCACAGTAAGTATAAAATAACTGTTGGTAGGATTATCATCAACACCTAGATATCAAGGAGGGGCTCTCAAAAGAACTGTGATATTTATTTGGGAAGTGCATTGCAATGGGAATACACATGCCCAAGTAAACTACAGGCCCGTTCAAAGAGGCAAGGGGGATAATAGATATTTTAAAACATTTATAATAGATATTTTAAAACAGTAACCCTTAGTCATAGTGATTAATAACGAGAGTGGTATCAGTCCACGGTTGAACAGGTGCTGGGCAGATGTCCTTGTAGAAGTCCTTTTTGTATAAGCTTTGGTGGCCTCTGTGCAAGCTCATGTTCTGGTGGTCTTTTGTGATAATTACTCCCAGGAAATCGTGCATAAGAACCCTTCCTTCATAACCCACCAGCTTCATTTACTTTTTTTTTTTTCTTTTGGTAGGATTGACACAAGCCACTCCATCTTTATTCTGACAACTTTCATATTTCTTTCACCTTATTATTGAGAGGTTCAGTGACCTTCTCCCTCAACAAACCCATCCAACCTGCCTTGGGCCAGGCCCTCCTCTGTAGGCAGCATCCCTCCTTACCCTTTTCTGAGGCCACCAGATGCTATGTTCCCTGGAACTATTCAGCCCACCTTTCTTGGTCTTTGATTGTCCATTCCCTGGGGCTGAGGGCAGGTGAGGTGATGGGTTACAAGAGCAGCACCCTGCTTTCCACAAGAAATGTCTCCTTTGCTGGAAGACGAGGGTGTGTACCTGGTACTGAGGTATGGTCCTATTTTCAGAGTTGACCTTGAGCAAATTAAAAAAAAAAAAAAAGCCTGTGTGCAAAATTGTTAGGTGTTCATTTTTCTTCCATTCGTGTATTCAAAAACCAGTAAGTTTTCTGATACTAGATGTACAAAATAAACAAGGGAGGGAAATCTCCACTCCTCTTCTTGTAGGGAACGAAAAGTGACGTCACAGCAGATTTAACACCAAGTTTATTAGCACACACACACACAAAAAAAGGAGAAAAGATGGCCAAAATCTCAGAGGCCCCCCGGAGTGTGGTCCATTCCTGTGAACAAGACACCCCGGAGGTCTTCAGAGCAGTCAGCCTGCCCGACTCCCCCTCTACAGGACCCACCCATCAGCTCTAGGAAAGACCCTCGCTCCACCCACACTTAAGAACAGGTAGGAAGGCCTCAGGGGCTCTGCACCTTGAGCTATTAGTTCTAATGATTTCTGTAGGTTAGTACAATGAAGCAGACTATAATCGCCATTCATCCCCAAAGCAACCTTTGGCTTGCCCACAAGGGCCCCAAGCCCACGAGGAGTGAAGACAACCATTTCTGTAGTTCAAAATCAAAAGGAAGAGAAGCTTTGACCAGTTGCAGTATTATCCAGGTCATTACTCATCAAGATGCTGGCTGGAAAAGAAGAAAATAATGTTAGGATGATGATGGTGAAGGAGGGGAAGAGAAGACCAAGCAGCTGTCATTTCCAGAGCACCTCACCTGTGGCCTCAGGCAACTCTGATGTGACATGCACTGGCTTTTATTTTTCTTTTTTCTTTTTTTTTTTTTTTTTGCAGTACTTGGGATTAAACCCAGGGGTGCTCCACCACTGAGCAACATCCCCAGCCCTTTTTATTTTTTATTTTGAGACAGGGCATCGATAGGTTGCCCAGGCCAGCCTTGAACTTGTGATCCTCCTACCTCTTCCTCCCCAGTCACTGAGATTAGAGGTGTGCACCACCATGCCTGACACATTGACTTTTTATCCTCAGAACCACCACGAGGAGTAGCATTACCGTCCTTACTTTACAGATGAGGAAACAGAGAAGCAGGCATTTTTTTCCCCATTCAGCCAGTGACCTGGGGACTCAAGATCTGAAAACTGTTTGACCCCAGATTGCAAGCTGTCCCCTCCCTCCAGCCACTGCCTCCTCGTCTTCGTCTTCATGTAAGTGGTAGCTGCTGTGGAACCTGCATATGCAGGAGCCAGGCCTCCTGGCCCACAGCAGAGCCTGTCCTACTGAGAGAGGCTCACTGGCCCTGGGTGCAGAAACCTCCCCACTCACTCACCTCACACAACGGTACTAAGTGCTACCATTTAAAGAGTCATTCGCTGAGCACCGGGCTCCGTGGACATCCTTATTTCAGTTTACAAAAGCAGAAACAGAGACTCAGAAAGGTGAAACAACTTGCTCAAGGTCATAGAGCTAGGACACAGAAAGGGGAACCCCCGCTCTGGCCAGGGCCGAGTCTAAGCATCTAACTTCTCCATTCTTCTGATCTGTTTTCTGGAAGAAGCCAAGAGAGAGCTTCCTATCATGGAAGACAAAGGTCCTTGGTGCAGGGGAAGCAGCACCAGGGAGTCAGGAGACCTCCTAGGCACACCAGGATGCCCACCCTAGAATAGCTCCTACGGCTGGGAGGACTGGAAGAGGGGTGACAGCACAGCCCCAGCCCTTAAACATGCAGTCTCTCTCCCACACCCAGCTCCCCTCAGGAGTCCTCCCCACACAGGACAAAGCAGTTCGGTCCATGTTAAGATCACAGGACTTGGAGTTGTCAGAAGACTGGCATGCCAGTCCCTGCCTGGCATGGGTCCCCTCATCTGCTCAGTTAGCTCCTCCATGCCCTACAGTGACACCTAGGGGGGAGGAGGAGAGGGGTAAGGAGGTCAAATGCTAATGCCCTGGAAGTCATAGAGTGATACTCTAAAGGAAGCATCTCTTTCCCGATTGACAGTAGCATGAAATAAACAACAAAGATATAAGATTGCTTTTAACCATTAACTACCCACTTATGTCCTGTCCTGCTAGATCCACAAAAATTGCAAAGAACAAAATTCACTGGGTGTTATGGTTTAGCCATGGTGCCCCCCAAAAGCTCATGTGTGAGCCAATGCAAGAAGGTATGAAGGAGAAATGATTGAATTGTATAGCCTTAACCTAATCAGTGAAATAACCCCCTGATGGGATTAACTGGGTGGTGGCTGGAGGCAGTAGGGTGTGGCCGGAGGAAGTGGTTCATTGGGGCATTGGGGATGTGGCTATGGGGTATATATTTTGTATCTGGACAATGGAGTCTCTCTCTCTCTCTCTCTCTCTCTCTCTCTCTCTCTCTCTCTTCAGTGGCAAAAAAAGCTGACTAAAACACTGGGCTTAACCTCTGATGGGATTTTGTTACCTCATCTAACAGGATTTGGAAAGTGGGGAGGAGCTGGGGACAGAGGGACAGTCAGGGAGAGGCAACCTCCTCCAGGACCAGGGGAGCAGAGGAGAGGCACACAGGGCATGCTGGGAACACTGGGCAGCCTGCAGCAGGTGGCCTGGAAGAGCAGGCCAGGGAAGAGAGAAGGTAGAGAGCAGGTGGACTTCTGTGGGGAGACGGGGCGGGGGTCAGGGAGTCTGGTCATGGAGCCAATAGGAATGACTGTGGTGAACGCCACAAGTCAAGCCCACAGATGCTGACCCCACCTGGAGAGACCGGAGTCTCCACAGCCCAGATGTGGATTTCAGGGTCCTATCCCTCCTCTAGCTGGGATCTCCTGGTGGCTGAGCCCTGTGTTCCCCAGGGCTCCTCTCGCCTGGCTCCCGTCTCTCTCCTGCCTTGTGCTGCTGCCTACAACCCAGAAGCAGCCACCAGCTGGCTCCCTCACCATGTTCCAGAAGGTCTCACAGCCCATGCACATGCCATCCACAGCCACCCACCTCCAACAGAAGCCGGGCCGCACCAGGGCCGGCCCACGCCCTTACACAGGGTGGACCCTGTTCCTGTCGCAGTGGGGCTTGCAGTGAGGGTTCAGCCAGTGCTCCAGAAACTGCTCCTCAGCACGGTGCTCCAGGGCCAGCAGGTGATGCATGTACTCCTGTGGGGACAAGCAACAGTGAAGGGAGGCACCATCCACAGAGACCGTGACAGTCAAACTGCCTGTGTGCATGGGGTGGCTGTGCTTCCTGAGGGCACAGCTTGGTCAGGGGAGGGTAGGAGGACAGACAGGGAGGAAAAACCACCTGCCAGGCCTGTGTCTCTCCATGGGGAAGACCAGTCAGACCCATAATCAAGGGGGTCCATTGCTAAGGGGGTGTGTCCCCACAGGATCCATGCCTGTTTGTGGAGTGTAACTGGGAGCCACCATTCTGAGAGAAGCTTGGTGGACTACAATCTAGAAATTTCCTTTCTCCTTGGTTACCACTTTACCAGACATACACAGACTTTTTCTTGCCATTATTCCCCAACAATGCAAATGTGTGATAGCATTTACATTATATTAGGCATTATAAGTAACCTAAGGATAATATAGAATATACCAGAAGATGCACAGAGGTTCTATGAAAAGCAGAAGCTATTTTATATAAGAGACTTGAGCGTCCTTGGATTTTGGTATCTGTGGGAGGTTCTACAACAGAACCCTCAGGGATACCTAGGAATGACCCTACAAGTAAGCCATCAGGTGGGGGCAGTTCCCTGTGTGTCTGCCACCCTCCCTCTTTCCTCACATCAGGGAGGCCCCCTCCTTCCCTGTTCATAGCTGTCATTTAGCCTTTGTTAATCTCTGAGCTTCTCTTGAGCCACAAGTTCCCCTCAGATGGTTCACCTGAAGAAAATTTAAAGAAGAAACCACTCACAGCCATGTAAGCGAGGTTACTGGTGTAGATCATTTCAGCACCCAAGGACCAGAAATAGAGACACCAGGACCATACCTAGGCCTGCAAGGCTCAGGGTACAGAAGGGCAAGAGGATACCATCAGAGCTGGAGCCGTGGCCCACGGGGGTGGGTGGCTCTGGTCTTAGAGGGCTGCAGCATCTGCAGAGTAAGGGTGAGCAGGGAACACCTCTTGCCCTCAGTCTTCTACAGAACCCAATCCTTAGCCTGCCACCTAGGGAACCAGGTGACCCCACAGGGGTCAGCCTTCCTTCAAAAGCATTTTGGGTGCTCTAATGGGGGGATGCAAACCATTGCAAAGTAAACATGAAACAGATCCACATAAATATTATTTAGGTACCTAGAAGAACCAGCTGTTACTCAGAAAAGTGGCATTTCACCTTGGGAGAAAGCAGATGCTGGGGTAATACAGTATGTATGACACGATTAAAATATTTTGGTCTGTATCTATAGCAGAAAAATCTTAAACCATAGCTCAGTGATAGAGCTTGTGCCTATCATGCATTAATAACTGGATTCCACCCTTACCACCACTTAAAAAAAAAGATTAAAAAGATTAAATGAGAATACAAATAAAGTTCAGTGCCAAATAAGAAGCTTGCATTCACCCTTCTGATCCATTCTCTCTCCCTGTTCACCTGGCCCTGTGACCCAGACTAATTATAACCCCAGATGCCCTCGTTCTATGGCTTCCAGTTGGGTTTGATCAATGGAGGCACCAGCAGGAGGTTGGAGGACTGAGGACAGGGTATTTAGTACCCTGGCTCCTTCAGAGGAGCCAGAGCAGGTGGCTGCATTACCCTCCTCAAGGTCACAGCTCCTGGGAGCTGCCTTCTCTAGGTGCAGGAACCATCTCTAGCCCTTACTCCTCCTTGCCTAGGGGTTCTTAGCCACGGATTCTATATCATTTTTCCCCTGTAGTCTATCCACATCCCTGCAAAAATCTCTTTATTAAATTTTCTTAAGTTACCCGATTTCCCGAGGGGGACCTGATATTTGAGGGCTTTGGCACAACATTCCTGGCACATAGTTGGAATCCAATACGTGTTAGCCATTCATTTTAGTTACTATCAGATAAGCAAGATCTGAGTACACTTTGAGGAAAGCATCTTTTTCAGGAAATGGTACACAGGTAACTTTCTGTAATGGCTTGTCGAATAAAGCACAGAGCAGCCTTCCTCAAAGTGTGGTCTATACTCCCTTGGAGATTCATGAGGCCTAAATTATTTTTAGAATAATATTTGGGCCTAATTTGCCTTCTTGCTGTATCAGATCTGAACTGATGTGCCAAAGTAGCGGTGGGTGAAATGACCGCACGTTGGCAGGAATCTCGGCCCAGGTACCCACTGTGCTCATGGCTGTTGGATTCTTCATTTCCACACTCACAATTACAAAAATACAAAACAAAAAAAAAATCCTGAAAGCACTAGTTCTCCAGAATAATGCCCAGGGAGGCAGTAGAGAGTGATCCATTGAACTAACTGTGCTTCATAGGTGCGTTTGGTGACATCTTGAAAATGAGCCAACAGTCTGTCACTCAAGGAAAATGATTGACAGTATTTGCTGAAAAATAATATAATTTGAGCTCTCAGGAGGAAATTAGAATTTTGGAAAACTTACACCTGCTACTATGAGCTTGACAGTTTTCCAATACTTAATGGCATTGCTGATGAGATCCCTGAGGATGTGAACAATGTCACCAGTAATATACAGCCTCTTTTGCAATTAGATGCCCATTTGCATTGTTCTTCAGTTAAACCTAGTTCTCCTCAACCAAATATCTAGTCAGTGTTTTGTTTTGTTTTTTAAGAATGGGGTCTTAGGGGCTGGGGATGTGGCTCAAGTGGTAGCGTGCTCGCCTGGCATGCGTGCAGCCCGGGTTCGATCCTCAGCACCACATACAAACAAAGATGTTGTGTCCGCCAAAAACTAAAAAATAAATATTAAAAAAAAATTCTCTCTCTCTCTCTCTTTAAAAAAAAAAAAAAAAAGAATGGGGTCTTAGTTGAGCACAGTGGTGCACACCTGTAATCCCAGCCGCAGGGGAGGCTGAGACAGGAGGATTGCAAGTTCAAAGCCAGCCTCAGCAAAAGCAAGGCACTAAGCAACTTGTCTCTAAATAAAATATAGGACTGGGGATGTGGCTCAGTGGTCAAGCTTCCCTGAGTTCAATCTCCGGTATCAAAGAGAGAGAGATGGGGTCTTGCTACATTGCCCAGACTGGTCTTGAACTCCTAATCTCTAGTGATCATCTCACCTCAGCCACCTGAGTAGCTGGGGACTACAGGCATGTGCTACTTCCTCTGGCCCAGATGGCAGTAATTGAGGTACACCTAGTGACTGACACAAAGTAGGACTTCAGGACAACTCATTAGAGAAACATACAAATGAGAAAATTGATTTTAAAAAAAAGCCAGTGTTTTTTCTTTGTAATCTTAATAAATCCTCCTTGGAAGTTTCCTCGACACCTGTGTCGATCTGCTTGTGGTGCTGGCCCACGCCAAAGGTACGTAAAAAACATTCAAAAGGACTATCTATCTCACACTCCTAAACAGCAGCTAAAATCATCGTAGAAGAAAAACAATCAAAATACACACAGAGAAAAAGAAAGAAATCAGTACCGGTTTCCATGACATTTCACTATTTATTTAAAATGTTATGAAAGAGAATGTGCCAGAAAGGCCTAAAAGTGGTCATTAGTCAAAAAGGAAAAGTCAAACGGCAAATCTGCTAAAAAACCACAAATTCAACAATTGCATTGGCTGGGTTAGAAATGACCCACATTAATGATAATCTCAAATGTTCCTGGACCAAGAAAGAAAGGGTAGATGGAAAATGGATTTTAATTTCTTTAGATTCCTTTCTCGGGGGCAGGGGAAATTAAACGAAACAAAAACCAGTATTTGTGTTCCACGTCAAATGCCAATGGCAATAACTTAAGTAAATAATTTCCCCAGTAAATTAGAATAGAAATTAGAAATAGACCCTTATGACGGCACCAGAATGGTGTGATAATGAAATTAAATATGCTCTGAAACCAGATCTAAGCCAAGAATCACAAAGTAGATAGTTAATCTATCAAGGCAGAAATTTTTCCCAAAAGGCAAAATCTTTTCTGTGACATTTGGGCAGAAGTAGAAGTCCGTCAACATTTGGAAAAACTATTTTGCTCATTAGTAAAAGCAAGGTAATCACAGAGGCTGGATGGTGGCTCGGAACTGAACTACCCTGGGACCCTGAAGGCTCCACCCATCGTCAGTCTGGCTGGTGTGATTTACATCTCAGTCACTCAGAACCATCTTTGAGATCATGGGAACAAAAGGGTAATGGGTTACTACATACATTTGTCAAAGGCCTGAGCATGAAGGCATATTTTACAAAGATGACTTATAACAAAGTTAATATGATTTATATTTGCCCAATAAGAGCATTCCTTAGCCAGGCATGGCAACACACGCCTGTAATCCCAGCAGCGTGGGAGGCTGAGGCAGGAGGATCACGAGTTCAAAGCCAGCCTCAGTAACCTATCGAGGCCCTAAGCAACTCAGTGAGACCCTGTCTCTAAATAAAATACAAAATTGGTCTGGGGATGTAGCTTAGTATGGGAGAGTCCCAAGTTCAATCCCTGGTACGCCCCTCCAAAAATATTTTTTTCTTAAAGACACACAGGCCAAAATAGCAAGCTTTCTAGGAAGCCTTATCCGCAGGTATGCAAGTTCTTTTGAACACAATCACAAAAGACATATCTTTAAAGAATCTCCAGGGTTCACCCCCATGATGGGCAAATATTTTCTTCCCTAAAATCTGGGAAGAGTAAGAAAGGTGTAATGAGTTTAAGTGAAACGATAGAAAAGACTTCTTTGAAATATCCTTCAGGTTCTATGGAAGAATCATATCCCACAAAACTTCCCCCCCCCCCCCCCCCCGCCCCCGGAAAGAAGCAGAGAAAGTAAAGGAGATAAGTACTAAGCATTTAGTAAACGCCACAGTGTATTTGGTGCTGGGGACCCAGAAATGAAACGAGCAGTCTACCTCTTCAAGCAATTTAGAGCAGAATATTAGGAGAGACCAAAAAAATGCCAAAAAGAGCAATCTTGTGCTGCAAGTGCCAGAGGGGTGTTCTGATTCATTAGGGGGAGGAGAGGCAGTAGGAAGCCCCCCCAAAAAAGGGCATCAATTAAAGGGAGCCTCCGAGTGAATAAGGGTTAACCACTGGACGAGAGCAGGTGCCATGAGAGAAGAACCATCATCCCACATAAGCTGCCTCTGTCCCCAGTCACCTTTTGTCAGTGTGGCACCGTGTCGGCCCTGCGGAACCCCACAACTCTTTTTACTCCTACCCTCCCTCTCTGCACCCTCTCCTCCTGCCCCAGCTACAGCCACAGGTCTCCAATTGAGCACCATAATCTCATTCTCACCATAGCTTCACCCTAAAATCCCTTCTAGAACATTCTATCAGAGCACAGGAACATAGAGTGTCGGAACTCTTTTGCAAAGTGATTCAATGATAGATACTAAAAACTTTTTGAAACAGCTGGGCCCTTGGACCTAACAACCAATTTTCTGGAAATGTACTCATAGCAAAGCATTTTATTTAAAAAAAAAAAAAAAAAGTTTGAAATGTTGTTTGTGATAGGAAAATATTGGCAATGAGGGAGTAATAAAAGGTAATAAATCGGCAAAATTATGGTTATAAATATTCCATTAAAATATGAAGAAATGTGGGCTGGGGATAAAACTCAGTTGGTAGAGTGCACAAGGCCCTGGGTTTAATCCCTAGCACCACAAAAAAATAAATACATAAAATACACACACACACACACATACATACGTATATATATGAAGAAATGTGTGTGATATAGTAATAAGAGAAGAATCAGGAAACAAAACTATAGATTCTCTTTTTTAAAAACTTACAAAGAAATATATACACCCACTCATAACGACTAGAAAGAAATACATTCTCAAATGCCAATGCTCTTTAGGGAGAGAGAGTAGAACTATAGGTGATTTTCCTTTATTCTTTGACTCTTTTTGATTTCCAATCTTTCTACGACAAATGTGAATGGTTTCAATTTTTTTTAATTATACACATAATACCCAAAGCATACTGTTGTTTAAAATTTCGACACCAAATATGAAGTTCACTAGACCACCACCTGCAGTCCTTCTCAGTGAGATGATGTGCTTAACATTCACCTGATCATCCCTCTGGACGTTTTTCTAGAAATATACATCCATGTGAATGCACCCATATAAATAGTGAATAGCACTGTTTTGTGGCTGAGGACAATATTCCCTCCTTATCCATGGGGGACACAGTCCAAAACCTGGAGTGGACACCTAAAAACTGCAAGTAGTGCTGAGCCCTATATACATTGCTTTTTCCTATACATACAGACATAAGATGATTTTTTAAATATTTTTATTAGTGCATTATAGTTATTCATAATAGTGGGGTTCATTTTGACATAACGATACATGTGTGGAATGTAATTTGCTACGTTTCAGTACTTCCTCCTTCCTTCCCCTTCTCCCCCTCCATGTTCCCTTCCTCTACTCTGTTGATCTTTCTTCTATTTATTCATTGATTTTTAATTGGTGCTTTATAGGTATACTCAAAGGTGGAATTCACTGAGTGTATTTGTATGTGTACATAGTATAATTGGGTCAATTTCATTCTGTAGTTCCTATGATAAAATTTAATTTGGACCCAGTAGAAAATTAACAGAAATAACTAACTATAAAATAAAACAATTACAGTATACTATAATAAAGGTTATATAAATGTGTTCTCTTTCACTCTCAAAAAAAATTTAAAAAAAATTTTTTTTTTACATTGCTGGGGATGGAACCCAGAGCCTCAGCTATGCTAGGCAAGTGCTCCACCACTGATCCACATCCCCAGCTCCCAAAATTTGTTATTGTACTGCATTCATTCTACTTCTTGCTTGTTTTATTTTGTTTTGGGTACGGAGGATTGAACTCAGGGGGCACTTAACCACTGAGCCACATCCCCAGCCCTATTTTGTATTTTATTTAGAGACAGGGTCTCACTGAGTTGCTTAGTGCCTTGCTTTTGCTGAGGCTGGCTTTGAACTTGCAATGCTCCCGTCTCAGCCTCCAGAGCCACTGGGATTACAGGTGTGTGTGCCACCGTGCTCAGCATTGTTTTGTTTTTTTCCTTTTTTGGTGTGTGTGTGTGTGTGTGTGTGTGTGTGTGTGTGTGTGATACTAGGGTTCAACTCAGGGCCTCTGACCTGCTAGGCAAGTGCCAAAGCCCTACCCTTCTTGTAGTGATGATGTGAGATGATCCGTAGCCTACTCGAGCAGATGAAGAGAGGGAGAGAACATAGCATTGTGACATAATGTTAGGCTACTACCTGAAGACAAGCACTACAGCACCACAATGGTGTTCATGGTCCTTTGTTATAGCAGCTTTACAAAACTAATACACTGAGTAACTGCATCAAGTGTAAAGATGAAGATAAAAAATTTGTCCCAAATCTTATCACCCAGCAAACATTGTCCTTTTTGTCTGACAACATGTCTCTCTACACACACACACACACACACACACACACACTTATAAATAGAAATGTAGGTGGGTGAGTTTTCCTTTACAACTGTCTTTCAGTTGTGAACATTGTGCACGCGAAGTTTGCCTCCCCTCAGGCCCTCACTCCAGGCATCCTTTGTAGCCGCCTCCCTCACCCTCCTCCACCCCCATTCCTGGTCCTGGTCTCCTTGCTCAGCCACCCTACTACATTCCTCTCAGCATCCTCAGGGCTCCTCCTTCCTGCTCTGCCCACCTCTGAGTGTCGGTGACCCAGACTCCAATCCTGGGCCTCCCCTCTTTAAATTGCTCTTTAGACCGTGTCTAAAACCCAGATCTGTTCTGCTCCATTTGAAAATCCTTCCGTTACTCTCTTCTGAACATGAGGTGAAGTCCAGGGTACTGAAACCTTTCTTACCCCTGCCCCTGCCCACTCCCCAGTCCCCTCCCGTCCTGCACCTGGGTGTTCTGAACCACCTCTTATTTCTTCTGCCAAAAGAGGCACGTCTATCCTTAACAGCCTGAAGTCCTGATTCATTTTTAAGTCCCCGCTGAGTCAGAGCCATGGGCTCCCTTCCCTGTCTCACAGGACCCAGCAGAGACCTCAGCTACTCTTGCTATGGCCTGAGCACCCAGCTCAGCACCTGGTAAAGGAATCGTTTCCACTTGCTGAGTGCTGTTCTAAGTGCTTCACTGTGAACTACTTTGTTGTATCCTCTTAAAAGAGTTATTTTACATTTTATTTATAGTGCTATTACAGTAGTATAAGTCATAACATTTGTTATTATCCCCATTTTGTAGAAGATGGTACTGAAGTGCAGAAATGTATAGGAAACTTCCCCAAAATTACACAGATGGAAAATGAAGAGATTCAAGCGCAGTGTGTCCCCAGCCAGCCCTCCCCAGGATCATACCAGGCAGCATCCAATAGAGGCTTTTCAGTGAAATCGCCAAGATCTGCACAGGAGTCTGCAGAGTGTGAAGAGAAGTATGGCTTTCTGGGCCTCCACATAGAACACAGTGAAAAGAGGCTGAGCTGGTGCCCAGTCAAAGAGGCCCAGGATGGGAGACCAGCCTGGACCACAGAGACACTCCCCGGCTTCCTGACCTGGCTGAGTCGCTGCTACTTACCTTCTGGGGTAGAAATGTCAGAACTGCTTCAGCCACGGGAGGCACCCAGCTAGGCCAGAACTGTGCTGGGAGGAGCATGGCAAGGTCTAACTGCGTCCACTAAATTGACAACATGAAAGCAAGAAAGACTAGGCAGGGGAACACTGTGAAGTCACAGAGCAGAGCTGAGGCCGAAGACCAAAATCAGAGGGACAGGGCAGGGCAGAACCCCGCGGGCAGCTGTGACTCAGATTCTGCCTGCCTGGACAGACCATCATGGGCCAAGGATACTGGTCCAGTCTGCCTGGGGCCCATACGGAAGAAAGTGAGGTTGGTATCAGTTAAAGGGTACAGCTCCCTAGCAACCAAGTCAGGGGTGTAACACTCCACAGCCCACTCAGCATACGGGGGCTCCACCGTCAGCCCTGCCACCTCTATTTTAAATACCCCATTCACAATAGGTAAGTGGAGCTGGCACCTCCAGGAGAGATAAAACACAGGTAAATTTTGAGAGTGGCTGGGTGTGGTGGTGTACACCTGTAATCCCAGTGGCTCGGGAGGCTGAGACAGGAGGATCACGACTTCAAAGCCAGCCTCAGAAAAAAGCAAGGCGCTAAGCAACTCCCTGAGACCCTATCTCTAAATAAAATACAAAGTAGGGCTGGGGATGTGGCTCAGTGGTCCAGGGCCCCTGAGCTAAATCCCTAGTACCCCACTCCCGCAAAAAAGAGTTTGAGAGTGCATGTATATCATACCTGAGACAGTAACAGGACCCCCACCCTGCAGCCTGTACTGGGACCAGCACCCAGTTTAGTTTCAAGGTAAATGAGCATCCAGCAGATAGCATTTTTTTAAAAAATTGCCAGGGCCCACACTCACCCGCATTGGCTCGTCAGGGAATCCAGGTTTGCTGGGCCTGTCCTGTCGCCGGGATCTCAGGAGCTGTTTGGCCTGTTTTTCGCTCACAATCGGAGAGGCCTCTGGAAAATATCAGGAAGGGGCCTCAGGGACTCTCAGGAGTTCATGCTCCATCTCCACAGTCCCAGGCAAGTGTTTGCAAGTTCAACTTCAATTAAGATACAAAACTTCTCTCTGAGGAACTTATCCCAAAGGACACAGCATCCCAGAAGGCTCAGAGAAGAATTTAAAATTGTTTCTCATACAGTTAACTCAGAAAAAAGCTGCACAAAATGTAAAACCATTTACCTATTTCAATGGCCCATTCCTTTAAAACTGGGCATGAACTTAATGAATATATTTTTAAGACATTTTCTCCAGCTCTCTGGTCTGCATTTCTCTTAAGTTCCCTCCAGGGGGATTTTCTTTTTTTTAAATTCTCAATAGGCAAAATTGAGTCGAAAGTTGTTATTGAACGATTCCCAGGGACAATAAGATTATGTAAACTCAGTCATCCCACAAGCCCCTCAAAGAAAATGCTGTGTTAATAAAATCATATTGTTTTGGTAATCACATGCCAACAGGAAAAGCTATTAACAGAACCAAACTCTATCAGATATTGGTGAACTCGTGTGAATTCCAAAAGCAGTTAAGGATTTATCAGCATTTTTGAGAATTAATTCTAAAAAAAACTTTAAGACGTTGTTGACAAAGAATTTCTCCCTTATGTTAGCAATTCTGGAAGCCTGATCTTACAGAAAAAAAAAAGAGAGGATAGAAGGAGGAAAGGGAGGGAGGGATTGAGGGAGGAAAAGAAGGAAAGAAGGGAGGGAGGGAAGGAAGGAAGGGAAACAGCCACAGAGCACGGCTCAGGAGGCTGAGGCAGGAGGATGGCAAGTTCAAAGTCAGCCTCAGCAACTTAGCAAGGCCCTAAACAACTCAATGAGACCCTGTCACAAAATAAAAAGTAAAAAGGGCTAGGGTTGTGGCTCAGTGGTCGAGTGCACCCGAGTTCAATCCCTAGTAGAAAGAAAAAAAGAGAGCGAGAGAGAGAAGGAGAGAAGGAGAGGGAGGGAGGAAGAGAGAGAGAGAGAGATGAAATATCTATTCAATATACACTAATATACTACTTGAAATGAAACAATATTTCAAAAGTACCAGACACACTGTTATTCCAGGTTACTGCAGTAGCACAGAAACAGGTGGTGTGGTCCGAGTCTGTGCCCACCTGCCAAGGAAGCCAGTAAGGCAACTGCAAGCACAAGCGCTGACAGGTTCTTCATCCTGCCCGGCTTCCCTCTGCCTGTGGCTGAACGGATCCTCCCGGCTGGTCAGCCTACTTGAAGGCAGCCAAGTCAGTCAGTCTCAATGCTTGTTGATGCTTCAACTAATAGGACTTGCCAGGTGACGCTGAGTGTGTCTGACTCTCGGATGTAATAACAACCCACTGCTAAAATGTTTTCCTCTGAATTCCTGTGATTTTTTTTCATCCTGAGGAAGGAAATTATCCCTCTGCAAGATGAATTCCAAGGCTTGACTTTCAGAAGGTGCACGTGATGTTTATTTCAACAGACTTTCCAATATGTTCCTTAGTCATTTGTGGGTATTTACCTATAGATGCAGTCTATGCTCCTGTTTCACTGAGTATCAATCATCTCTTACATTTGCCTATTTTAGGACATTTTTCCAAAGCCCATTTACCAGTCACAAAGTTGTTTTTCTGTTTGTTTGTGTGTTTTTTTTTTTTTTTTTTCCAGCTGATTTTGGAACCAGAAAGCCCAGGGTTCAACTCCTGGCTTCAGGTCTCTCTGACACAGTCACTTTAGGTAAGCCACTTACCCTCTCTGAACTTCTGTTTTCTCCTATTAAAAGGAGATAACAGAAACTTCCTCGTGGGCTGTGATAAAGAGTGAGGGGTAAGCTGTGACTAAGCACTGTCACCCAAAAGTTCTAGGGTCATTTACAAATGAGGAAAGTGAGATCCAGAGATGGAAAATCAAGTCCAAGTTCACCCATTAGAATTTTTTTTTAATATTTATTTTCTAGTTTTTTTGGCGGACACAACATCTTTGTTTGTATGTGGTGCTGAGGATCGAACCCGGGCCGCATGCATGCCAGGCTAGCGCGCTACCGCTTGAGCCACATCCCCAGCCCCAAAGTTCACCCATTAGGATTCTGAGGGACAGTCCAATCTTCTGTGCTCAAACCAGCAGGGTGTGTTCTTCCCACTGTGCCCCATGGTGGAGAGTTATATGCCCCCTAAGACCCATGTGTTAAAGGCCATTTGTCCCCAAGGTGGCTCTATTGGAGACAGAGGAACCTTTAAGAGCTGACCTCTAGTGGGAAGCCCTAGGGTCATTCCAGGCATGCCTCCAAAGGGGTTGTAGAACCCAGCCCCTTCCTCCCTCTCTTTCTCTCCTGGGCTCCTTATGTAATCGGTTTTGCTCCACCACGGACTCCCACCATGATGTGCTCCCTCACCACAGGCCCAAAACAATGGAGACGACTGATCACAGACTGGGACCTCCAAAATATCGAGCCAAAATGAATTTTTCTCTCTTTTTTTATTATATATTTGTTGGTACATTATAGTCATACATAATAATGAAATTCATGATGCCATATCTGAACATGCACATAATTTGATCAATCTCATTCCCTAGTATCTTTCCTTTCTCTTCCCTCCTTCCTCCTTCATTTGCTGTACTCAACTAATCTAACCTTTTCTCTTTATAAGTTAGTTACCTCAGGTATTTCACCATAGTGGTAGAAAGCTGACTATCACATCCCATGATCTCAGGGGTGGCCCTTCATCTTTTTATAGGGCCTTATGCAATATGCCATCAGTAAGACCTTAAACAGCCTCACACCAGACTCAAGATTGTTTTCATAAAGATAAGAAAATCTCAATATGCTGAAGTTCTCTTAAAATCATTTATAAATATTACATGAAGAAGTTTTTAAGTATATTATAAAATATTCTAGGAGGGATGTGTCATCTTTTTGGATAAAAGTCTCCATTCAGGAGACTGATGTTTCTGTGGTCACTTTGCCAGCTCAAAAGAAAACAAAACCTGTTCTCTAGTCCTCAGAGTCTATGCTAATGCTGTGTAACTGATATTAAACCAAAATATTCTGCCTACTTGGTTGGCATAAAGACATTCTGAGCAGATTGTAAACAAGGAAAAAAAAAAGTCATGCACTGTTAGCCTAAGTTGCCTCACAGGATAATTAGCTCAAAATGTGGTGTTTGGTTTTCTGTACTCTTTTGATACGAACATCCCTCTGTTTTCATACAATTTCCAAAACTCAAGGAATTCTATGAGCGTTATTTCAGAAATGCATGCATCTGTCACATTAAATACCCTGGGTCTTTTATATGCATATTCAAACACTTCATTCCTTTTAGTCTTTGTGGTTGGATAGAATACCAGCCATGCTGTTTTGTTTTATTAAATAAACATCTTCCGTGGACCAGAAAATAAACGATACCTAGCTAGAAATTTCCAGTGTGTGGAGGGTAAATTTAATCAAAGCCTTTTTTTTTTAATTGAGTCATTTTTGTCTATATCAGAGCTACACAATAAAAACCATAATGTGAGTCTCAGAGGCAAGCCACACAGGCAGTTTAAAGTTCCCCAGTAGCCGCTTTTTGTTTTATTTCGTTTTGTTTTGTTTTGTTTTATTACTGGGAATTAAACCCAAAGTCACTGTGCCTCTGAACCACCTCCCTAGCCCTTTTTATTATTTATTTTGAGACAGTATCTCACTAAGTTTCCCAGGCTGGTCTGGAACTTGCCTCAGCCTTCAGAGTCCCTGGAATTACAGACGTGAACCACCAGGCACAGCAGAGCCACATTTTTTAAAACTACAAGTTAAATGTTTACTATTATATCTAAAACAATGAAATATTCAAAATATTATTTCAACATAAAATCAATATAAACAAATCGTTAATGGGATATTTTACCTCCATGTGGCTAATGACTATTGTGCTGAACAGCCTGGGTCTAAATTCTTGCATCTCGTCACCACTACACAAGGCTAGGCCACTGTTACCTCTCAACCAGCTTTTGCACCAGGTTCCGACAGGTCTCCCAGCTTCTCTCCCATTCCTCCCCACGAAGCAACAAGGATGATCAACAGAAAATCTAAGTTGGACCTCATCCTTCCCCTGCATGGGAACCTTCGTGGTAAGCCGGGTACAGTGGTACACACCTATAGTCCCAGTAACTGGGGAACCTGAGGTAGGAGGATCACAAGTTCGAAGTCAGCTTGGGAAACTTAACAAGACCCTGTCTCAAAATTTTAAAAGATTTTTTTTAAAAAAAAAAACTTAAAGGACTATGGATATAGTTTAGAGCTAGAACCCCTTAGGTTCGATCGCCCCAGTTTTTAAAAAATAAATAAATTATTAAACTCCTTTTGGATTCAGAACAAAATCAGAGTCTTACTAGGCACTATAGGACCCCAGGTTATCTACACATACTGTTTTTTCCAACTCCACGCCCCTAAAATTCATTGCAATCACTCAGTTGCTTTCAATTTAACAAGTTCTTTCCCACCTCAGGACCTTTGCCCATGCTCTTTTCACAACCACATTCTTCTTATCCTTTGAGCTTCAACTTGAAATTTCTCCTGCTCAGACAAGACTGCCCTTACTAGTCTACTTAATAAAATTTCCTAACTCCATCACCTCTACCACTACTGTTCGTCTAAGAGTACTTACCAGAATTTATAAATATTTGTTTATTTTTTTAAATCTGTTTCCTCCCCTGGACTGTAAATCTAAGTAATCTTGTATTGTTTTTATAAGGGACTGAAGAGGTGATTCCAGAGAGTCAGGCCTGTATCACACTCTGGGATGCTGGTACAAGGTCTCAGATGGAGAGAGCTGGTCAGATATGATATTCAAAGGTGTCATTCAAATGCCCTTCAGCTGGCCTCCAGGGATATTGTCCCCAAAGCGGAAGGCGCTATAGAAAGACTGAAAGAGTAAGGTCCTTGTTGTGAGTGTCACTGTGGTGAGGGGAATTCTCTTCTACTCCTCTACCCTGTTCCCAGTGAAAGCAGCAGTCAGATACCTGAATCAGATTCTCCAGAGAAGATGCAATTGCAAAAAAAATCCACAAGGTGGCAGAGTAGAGAGGGGGATTAGGGAGGACCAAGGTCAGAGGAAAGAAACTCAAGGCCAAGGCCAACTACTCAGGAAGTTGCCAGGGGCCCAGCATATCACCAGAGGTGGAGAGAGATGGTGCTGCAGTGCCCAAGACTATTTCCCTACTATTTTAGCTAATGAATTACTTGAAGGTCTTCATCAGATTCCGAGGCCTAAGAAAGCTACATTACCAAGATGATAATATTAAGAACATAGAAAGAAGGCTACAACCCATATTCACAGCACCTTACCAAAACTAATAGTTTCATTTGTGTGGGTTTCCTATTTCTTTTTTGAAAGGACTCCTAAGTCACACCAATATTTAAAGATCAATGATAAAGCAAATGCCACAGAATTCTCAACATTGTCATGCTAATACTGGTTTAATAGGAAAAGACAGTGATTTCAAATTCCATTAGCTAAAAAAAATTTCTGAGATATGGGAACAACATAAATATCTATGTCTCAAGAAAGAGAATAATAAGTGTCCCATTTTTTTTTTTTTTTAATGGTACAGGAGATTGATCCCAGGGGCGCTTAACCACTGAGCTACATCCCCCATTCCTTTTTTATATTTTACTTAGAGTCTCATTGAGGTGCTTAAGGCCTCACTAAGATGCTGAGGCTGGTTTTGAACTCTTGATCGTCCTGCCTCAGCCTCCCAAGTCACTGAGATTAGCGTTTTCATCTTTTTATTGTCCATCTTTCCAATCAGACTATAAGCTCTTTATTTTCTCAATATACACAAAATTCTTTCATAATTTTTAAAGTAGTGATAAGTAACTACATGCATACCTAACAAGCACATTAACTGAGAAGTACACAATTCAAGCAGATGTTAGGCTTGGGCAGGTGTGGTAGGTTGAACTATTAGGATCTATCCTTCACCATCTGCAACCTGACTTGGGCTCAACCAAGTGACTTGTTTTAGGGCAACAGGATAATAGCATTGGTGAAGGTCAATGTAACCCATTGGTGAAGGTCACCCACCCTGTTCAGCCCCAGCACCACAGCCCGAAGCAGAGCCACCATCCACCTGCAGAACCTTGAGGATAAATGATGGTTACTGAAAACCAGTGAGTCTAGGAATGATTTTGTTATGCAGCATTATCCTGACAGTAGCTA